CTAATAAAATGAAAGATAAGATTTAATAACATCATATTAAACTATAAAATTGGGCACGAAAAAAATAAATAAAAAATTAAAAAGATCAAAAACTTAAAAAAATTAAAAAGCCCAAATTAATGAATAAAATTAAATAAAAAACATCAGACCAAAAAAAAGACAAAAAAATCTTAATATATGATAAAAAATACAAAATGAATTTACTATCAATTTAATATTAAATGATAAAATTAAATAAAAATTATATTAAAAAATAAAAATAAAAAAAATAAAAAAAAAATTATATTAAAAAAAAAAAATAAAAAAAAAATTATAAAAAAAAAAAAAAAGGGAGCCAAAAAATCTTAATAAAATAAAAAATTCATATTAAATAATGAAATTAAAAATAAAATAAAAACCCTTAAAAGATTAAAAATAAAGGGAGAGTAAAAAACTTAAATGGGTGAATGATAAAATTAAATAAAAACTATGTTAAAAGATGGAGTTAAAAATATTTAGCAAAAAAAAAGCTAAAAATTCTAAATAAAATAAAAACCTCATATTTAATTATTAGATGACATTAAACTGTATGTTAAAAAGGCTAAAAAACCTAAATGGCCATAAAAAAAGCTATGGGATTTTTTTTTGTTTGTTTCAATTGCAACTTGATTTTTTTGTTTTTTTCAATGGCTTGTTTAGGATTGTGAATATGGTTATAATTTAAAGTATTTTTTATTTAAAAATATATTTAAATAATATTTTTTTATTTTAAAAAATTATTTTTTATATCAGCATATTAAAATGATATAAAAATATATATAAAAAAATTACTTCAACCAAAAAACTTCAAAAATTTTAAAAACAAGATACAAACAGCGTTTCCAAACAAGTTGAAATTCTCCCACGTATTAACCAGAAAGCCAAAAACATGATGCGGGTATAAAAGCAATTAAAATACTATATTAATCTGAAAACGTTTGGCATTATGAAAGCAATTGAAAAACTATGCTTATGTAGTTTACTGTATATAACAGTTAAACCGACTTTTAACTTAGTTTTAGATTAGTTGTTAGTATAATTCAATTTCTCCAGATAAGAAGCATTAATGTCTTTATTTTTGTGGAAAAGCCCATAACTTCATGTTAGGCATAACACATCTATAATCCACTGGTGCTGTCAACTTAGCAGCAGCTGTTTATCAGAATATTGTTTTCAACTTATTGACTACCACCCAAGGAAATAATGTTGTGCAAGTGAACACAAGGATAGGTAAATCAGCTATAAAGATTTTTAGAGAAAGAAAAGGTGAAAATGCGGACTTCTAACATTAATGTACAGAACAATTTCTCGTTTGTTCAATCAATGTGAACTTTTATCCATAATGAAAATCAAGTGTGATGAGCTTTCGTGATGAAGTTCAACAAGATAAGTAAGAATGAAGGAGAAGAGGAGCTTCAAGATATCTTTTCTTGTCCCAGAGGTCGATCTTGAAGCTTCTAAAGCGCTAATAAGGTATCAATAAGATCAGCGAAGAAAAGGCAAGCATGGGCCTTATTTTTGGCACGATCTCTTTCGCCTTCGGTTGGCTTATTCCTAGCCCAGAGGTTTTTTCATATCTTCAGACAGAGGTTGCATCATTGGATCTTCTTCTTCATTAAGCTTGTCGAGAGTGAGACAATGCTTTAATCTTATTACTAATCAAGGTGCCTCCAAACTCTTATTCTGTTGTACCATTGACCTAAGATAATAAATTCAAAGTTGCTCAGGGAGCGAACTGGGATTTAGAGATAGTTCTAATAATTGTTTTTCAAATAGATTTTTTATTTTTTTAATTTAATTTTGACATACAGTTTGAAAACAATCTAGAAAGAATTTTTTGAAATGAAGGGTAAATTAAGCACATAATAGCAATTATTTTTTTCTATCATTGAAAATTTGTCAAAATTATTCACAATTATTTACTAAAAGAACCCTTAATGTTTTTTTTATGACTCAATAAAATAAGTGTCTTAATATATCTCATGTTCCACGTGTCTCAATTAAAGAAACACATTGGCAACAAAGTGACTAAGTCGTCTCTAACTCAATATCAACAAGCTTTTCACCCTACAACCCGAAGCTATTTTGAATCCCAAAATGAAGAGAAGTAATTAAGCAATAATCCAGGTCTTGATCCACTAAAAAGACCAATCACTGTAATATCCCACCATGGATGAAATTGCACATAATTTCCGTGGACAAGGGTGAATTAAAAGGAGGGGAATTGTCAAGGTTCTAATTTGAGAAAGGAGGGAAAAGTTGCTGATTAGTACTTAAAAATATATTTTTATCAAGGTTTTATATCATTATTTTATATTTGAAATACTAATAATTCCTTAACTATAATATATTTTATAATAACATATATAATAAATATAAGATACCTTTAATTTATAGTAAATGTTTATCTAAAATACAAGCCTATCACATAAATGAATGGATTGATTGATGAGTTTAACTACTGAAATTGAAAAGACAAAGAGAGGGCTAAGCTTAAAAAAAAAATGCTAGTTTAATCCAAACTGGAATACTGTTAAGTCATTGGGTCATATCTGAAGCTATAGTTTTTCAATTTCAGTTTAGTTTATATGACTAGAAAGCTGAGACATAGGCCTAAAACATTCATGAAATTCAAAACTTAATTCTACCATTTGGAAGTTTTAGCATCAAAAGGGAAGTCTGAATCTGTCATATAGCCTAGACATTATTTAGTGTTCAGTATGTATCTCGGGTTCTAAAAATCCAAATACACTGATTTTTTTTATTTTAACATTTTGGTTACTAAGGACCAGTAATAAGCTGATTGAGAGTGTGATTAGTAATTAAAAGTGTATTTTTAAAGAGTGTGATTAGTAATTAAAAATGTATTTTTATCAAAGTTTTATATCATCATTTTGCACTTGAAGTATTAATAACTCCTTAATTAGAGCATGTTTTATAATAACAAGTCTAATAATATAAGATAGTCTTAATTTATAGTAAATGCACATTTTAAATACAAGCATATCTCACAATTCAAATGATTGATTGATATGATTGACTATTGAAAGTGAAAGGACAAAAAAAAGGTTATGCTTAGAAAAGAGATACTGATTCAATTCAAACTAGAATACTGTTCAATCATTGGGTCATATCTGGAGCTGTAGATCTTGGATTTCAGTTTGGTTTATATGACTAGTAAGCCAATACATAGGTCTAAAACTTTCACAAAGTTCAAGATTCAAAAAGACCATTTCCAAGTTCAAATTGTTGCAACAATGGAAAAGTTGGAATCTGTTCTATAGCCCAGACATTGTCCAGTGTTCATCTCATATCTCGAGTTTTAGAAGTTCAAATGAATAGTGTTCATCTCATATCTCGAGTTCTAGAAGTTCAAATGATCGATTCTTTCTTTTTTTTTTTGTTGGAAAGCTGAAACAAATGCCCAAAACTTTCATAAGGGCTATCTATTTAAATTTTGATATTAGCAATAACATTTTGTTTAGATAAGTAGATAAAAATTATCACCAAGTCAAGATATGGTCACTCACTTAACAATTAATCATTATATATTGAGTTCTAAATTTTGGCTTATAAAAAAAGTCATTTTCCATGCATTTAGACATCTTGATTTTCAAATCAAGATCATGTTCTTCCTTTTTTTTTTTTATATTTTTGTAATGCTTAAGTTTTGTTTTTAGTAATCTCTTATTTATGCATTTCATTTCCTTTACTATACTTATATGATCATATTCTCTTCTTATTTATTTATGTTTCTCTTCTTTCATTATGTTTAGTTAAGTTTATTATGTCAAGGTGAAAAGGTTACACTAATGGTGCAAGAATAAATATAGTATAAACTCAATATGAATTTTAATGTTTGATACTAACATGTTTTTTATTTGTTATTTTGTTCACTTTTAATACTTTGCTTGTTAAATGGTTAATTTAGATTTATATTGTATAACTCTCAGTACAACAAATACTTGATACTTTTATAACTGAACTGTATGGTATAACTGATACTTGTGCTATGAAAGGAACTTGATTTATTGTTAACATAAGTTATAATCATAAATACCTAGTATTTACAAATATTAGCATTATTCAAATAGGGTAACTAATATAATCATATTAACAATTTATAATCCGATTGGAATTTTCTTTGTGTATGGTTTATAGTTGAGTAATAAAAAGAATTTATATTATACTTATTTGAAATACCATTAATAGATCTTCTAATCTTAACAATTATTTTATACTTGTTTAATTCTTACATCAATATCACATCTTAATGCTCTCTTCAACTCCGTTTCTGTTATTATCTATTTTTTATTTGTTATTTATACAATTAATCTTTTTATAATTCGACCCCGGTGTTATCGAGTTATTTATTACTTCAATACTCTGTACTTCCAAAAAAATTATCAATCTTTTAATCATATGACAGGTAAAACCATAAGGATAAAATCACCTTTGATATAACAATACCCATGTTGGGTTCCAGGTAATCAGGATTCAAACTACCTATCCAAAATTCGAGTGTTCTTAAACCCAAACTCACTAGGTCATCACTTCCCTTTAAACAAAAAACAAGAGGTTTCATAAGATGAGGAAGGTGTGGCAGCAATGAGCGTAAGCGTGCAGGCAATGTTAAGCATAGTTCAAGTAAAAGGTCCCTCATATCTTCACCAGTTGGGCCCTCGAGCATTGTTAATAACATATTTGGAATCAGGTCCCGGAGAAGAAGCTCGAATTTACATCCAGAAAGTGCCCTAAACATTGTTCGAAGAAGCTGCATATAACCAAGAGGTTTTTCAACTTCAGTAGCATTCTTCATGCAAACTTCCATAATAAGAAGGGCATGAGGCTGCAAAATACGTTGAAAATCTGCTGGTGCTTTAGCAACAGCACCTAATATAAACCGATTGAGGTGCAAAACCAGTTTTGCTGCGGGTGAATCTGGGTTCTTCAAAACATCAAGCTTCCTGCTTACGAGAAAGTTAACCAAGGCATCTGCAAATGGCCGATATACTTTCAAAGATTGCAAGAGCAAAGACAATATGTGAACTAGTTGAGTATTGCTAATCATGCATTCAAAAAGTTCAGGCATGCACAATGAGAACATGTCCATAAGATCTCGAGGTTCCAATAATACACAGTATCTGGAAGAAGAGATTAAGCATGTCCCTCTCCTCATCATTCTCCTTAAAGAGAGCTAAACAACGCACCCCACTCTTCAGGACACCTGATGCTTTCCCCACCTGCCCAAAATCAAAGTCAGACCAAGCCAATCATGGGACAAGCAAACAGAAGACACATCAAATAATACCTCATCTTCTCTCATCCCTTTGAATGCTTGAGGAGATGGTAAGTTAGATGGTGGTGAACAAAGCACTTGAGAGTGTGTTCCATGTGTTGAAGGAGAAACCTAAACCAATGAAATTAAGCAATGAAAAAGAAGAAAGAGCTAACATATAAAGAAATGTTAAATAAAAGGCTGTTTTGGAAACAAGTTAAATTAAGCAATAGTCTTCATTCCTAAAAACATAACCCAGAGATTCTTAAGTTCTCTGAAAATAGGTTAATTAACAACGAGAAACATAATTCAGTGGCATTCATCTCCATAGTGTAGTTATCATTATAAAACATTGAAATAGAATACAGATGGTTTAGCAAGAGGATCTATTATTACCCATAACTAAGGTCTTGATCAGATTCTTACAATCACTGACTTCCTTGGAATGTTCCACTGGAACTTGCAGATTCAAAACTGCCTGCAATCAACTGCATGTCAGATTGAAGACAAACACCAAGAGAAGGTATATGATGGATTCAGAAGAAAAATATAGTCCAGTTGTATACATCCAATCAAAAGGATTGAAGACAATCCTGTGATGCCTTAATGACAGTGCTTCACTGAAAATATTCTAAATGTTTCTATATATTTCCCAGTACATCAGGACATCTATGCATAATTATTCAAAAGAACTTGACAATGCTGGAGAAAACACTCGAACATTTTAAAACTATGAAAGTTCATTGAGATAAAATAAAGAGATTGCAGAAAAACTAGAAGGCATTTTGTTTCAAGGATCAACTAAACATTTTATATTTATTCTTTGAAATTTTATGAGAGATACTTCTAGGTTCTAGCAGTTTGCTTCTTCCCAAAAACAACCAACGTCATCACAGTCAGGCTCTAGCAGTTTGCTTAACCTACAAACAACTAACTTCATCACAGATAGAGAGTTCCATATCTTAAACCATGCACACAAAAAAGAAAGGCACTTTTGAAGATTGAGTAATCTGGCCATTCCCAGGATTTTCATTATATATTTATTTCTAGACTCCGGATTTGGGTTTGAGGAAAGCAAACTGCAGGTGATATTCCAAATGCTTCACTGGAGCTTCTTTATGACAGGAACCAACAAAGAGATACAGTGCACGAGCAACAAATAAACAAGTCCTATGAGCAGATACCTAGCAAATGCTGAATAGTTATAACCGATAGTAAGACATAACAGTTTCGTATCAGTAGTGAAACAGAGTGAGTGCAGCATTCTGGTAAGGCTCAACATTTGTACTAATCAATGCATACACAGTAAATTTGAAATTAGGGAATGCGAAACAAAGCACTTCTAACAGAGGAAACATGATGCACAGAGAACAAAAACTAAAATTCAAACTGTTGACCCAAGCAACATGAAGAATGATTTGAAAGCACATAGAAAGTCACAGAGCTACCTGCACAGGGAGTTCAAGCTTTGACCTCATTGTAGCATGCTCCCTTCCCTCCTTACCTCTTCCAACAGCTATCAATTAAAAAGGACATTAAAGTTCACAAGCAAACCAGACAAAGTGTAGTCAAGAATAAGAAAAGAACAAGCGAAAAAGACAGTCTTCTAAAAAATGTGAAGAAAATTAATCAAAGATAGCTATCTACAAAGAAACAAAGCAATGTTAATTATATCCTAGGACAGTTGGCTCCACATAATTAGAATCTTGAACAAGCATATGAAAGCACGTACGCCAATTAATTAAATCAATGCAAAAGGTCAGGAGAAATCTTATTATAGTTCAATTTCTTTTCTATTATAAATAAATTATCAACGGAGTTGCCTTAGGATCAAGGATAAGAAGGGCTACAGAAAATACTGGAGCAGGAACATTTGTGAGCTAAAGATCTGCAATGAAATACTTCAGCTAGATACCTCCACAAGTAACATCAACATGTTCCAATGAGCTAGTATCCACCAGAGAAGAGCAAACAAGAAAAGGGAATTGTGTTTGTGTCACTACACTTGTATACCATGTCGAATTGCATCTGCCTTCAAATTTGTAGCAATGTAGAAACCCGATAAAATAACATAAATGTTCCATCCACTCCAAAATCTTAATCAGAGCTATCCCAAAAGATGAAACTTAAAAAGAAATCATCCTATAACCCAGATCAAACAAATACATGAACCTGTAAATTTCTATCTCTAACACGGTTCCAAAGGTGATGAAAAACTTCATACGCCAAGACATTCAAATGGCTCACAGTCATGTAATTGACCATAAGTGAGCTTCATAAAGATACCTCCCAGTAATTAAACTATTTAATGTTGTAGCAACACAGCTAAGGTTTGTCCCAACATAATACCACACGAGAAAGGGATCACCAAGCAAGGATTACCTGTGGAATGATGCGCTTGAAAGTGCTAAATTTGCCAACAAAAGCATCCAAAATACGCCCCTGTAAAGCAAGATGAGTTACTCCAAAATATAACAAGAAAATCCAACCAAAAAATCTTCACAAGAAAATCTTCACATTAGTCATCTTATTCAATTAATGCTTACTTATTGATGTCAATACCAGTAAAATACGAGCTTCATCCATGGTTGATTGGTCCAGACCTTTCTCAAAAATTGGCTCTACCCAAACCCAACAAACAATTTAACAGCATAAAAAATAGATTGTAGAACCAATCATAACTATGCACCTAATTACAGTCATCCTACTGAATAAACCAGATAATACAAATTTTTCTTAAAAAAAATAGATTAATCATTTGATAAATAATTTTTTTTGGTCTAAAAGAGTTAAAGTTTACATTTTGGGATGAAAAAGACTCTATGATTATATCATAGCCTTGAACTCTATTATGCTATAAGTTTGTGGGCCTTATATGTTTTTGGTTATAGTAAAAGGTATATGAGATATAGTAAAACAGATCTACTCTAAAGTTAAGAATGCTGTGTTAATTTATGAATTAAGACGAAGTTTTTAATGATCAAACAAGGTAATATAATGGTTATTGAATATTACAATACTATGAAAAGTTTCTGGTTGAAATTGATTATTATTAGGATTTTAAGATACAGTATAGTAATGATGCTGTGATTTTAAAGAATTATGTAGAAAGAGAAAGGTTCTTTGAATTTCTTGTAGGATTTAACATAGAATTTAATCAAATACGAGTCTAAATACTTAGAAAGGAATCTCTGCCCTCATTCAATGAGGTATTCTTGGTAATAAGGGCTGAAGAAGGAAGGAGAATTGTGATGCTTGAGGTCCCAAATATTGAAGTTTCTGCTATGATGATAACTAATAGCAAAAATCGAAGTGATGCTAGCAGAAATCAAAATGATGCCATAAATGTTGTAAAAGTGATGAAGACTAAAGGAGAAAATTCTTTAAAGATGATCAGTTTTGTAATTATTGTAAGAAAACAGGTCATATAAAGGAGACCTGCTGGAAACTTCATAGAAAACCACTAAGGATAGGGCGTAATGGAGGTTACAAATGGAACCATTCAAGAGGACATACACACTTAACAAATTCAGAAGAGGCAGCACATGAGTCCAACACCCTAGAGGTGAGAGGATTCAACAAAGAGGAGATTGAATGCCTAAGAACCTTACTCAATATAATGGAAAAACCATTTGGATCATGTTTTTTTGCTTAAAATGGTAAAATTCTAATTTCTTATGTGCCTCAAATAAGAATTATTCCACCATCTAGGTCATTGACTCAAGTGCAACATGCTATATGACTTATTCTGCAAGTGCCTTCACATTATATCAACCCTGTCCCAGCAATAAGAAAATCACAGGCTACGGGATCTCTAACCATAGTTACAGGCCAGGGAACAATTCATCTTAATCCTGTATTTACTCTTAAAAGAGTATTACATGTTCCTAATCTTAGTGCAAATTTATTGTCTATCCAAAAATTAATTAAATACATTTATTGTAGTGTAACTTTCTTTCTTGATCACTGCATATTTTAGAACCTAGATACGAGGAGGACGAATGGGCAAGCTAGAGTCAAGGATGGGCTATACATGCTTGG